AAACCTTTCTGGGGTTCTTCTCGGCAAAACCTAGAACAATGCACACAAGCCAACTGAGATGCGATGATGTCGGTGCTGATTTGGAAATAGCATCCTCAGATGGCTGTACCTGGGAGGTAATTAAAAAGTCCCAAAAGAACACCACCTGGGAGTGGCCAGAGAACACAGACCAGCGAGCCGGCCTCGTCCTTCTGGTTCCCAAACCTGATAGGACTGTTCGATCTGGCGCAGACTTCGGCTGGCTGAATGCATGACCAGTGCCAGCTGCAGAAGCATTTCGGAAATGTCTAACCAAAGCCAAATTCATCAGAAGCCAGGGATGATTCACAGCTGATGACATTTCCTTTATTCCCAGGAGAGATAGCACTTATTATGACCCAGGTTCTTTACTTTTTATAACCTGGGGAGTATTTTAAAAGCAGTGATCAAGGCATATAAACTTTTAGTCTTATTTATTTATTTTTAAATTTTTTGAGTCACCCAGGCTGGAGTGCAGTGGCATGATCACGGCTCACTGCAGTCTTGACCCCCCAGGCTCAGGTAATTCCTCCTCTTCAGCTTCCCAAGTAGCTGGAACTACAGGCATGTGTCACTACTATGTCTGGTTAATTTTTTTGGTTTTCATAGAGACGAGGTCTTGCTGTGTTGCCCAGGCTGGTCTTGAACTTCTGGCCCCAAGCGATTCTCCCACCTCAGTCTCCCAAAGTGCTGGGATTACAGGTGTGAGCTATCCATGCTTGGCCCAACTTTTAGTCTTTTAAGAACAGATTTCAGAAACTTTGGGAATGTATGTAGAGGAGGCAGAAAATGGGTTGCTAAATACTACTTCAGGCTGATATACGGAGGATAAATTCTTTCCTTATAGAGCAAAATGCTATATCATATCCTCCTAACATACTCAGGGAGCAGGCGTCACAAATTTTGGTTGATTTCTCCCTATTTCTCTGTGTTAAAAGGACTGATCTCCTAGGCCAGGTTCAGTAGCTCACGCCTATAATCCCAGCACTTTGGGAGGCTGAGGTGGGAGAATCGCTTGGGGCCAGAAGTTCAAGACCAACCGGGGCAACACAGCAAGACCTCATCTCTGCAATTAAAAAAAAAAAAAATTAGCCAGGTATGGTGGCACATGCCTGTAGTTCCAGCTACTTAGAAGGCTGAGGTGGAAGGATTGCCTGAGCCCAGCAGATCAAGGCTGCAGTGGCCATAAGTGTGCCACTGTACTCCAGCCTGGGAGACAGAGTAAGACTTCAACTCAAAACAAACGAAACAAAACAAAACAAAAAATAAAAAGACTGATCTCCCTTATAGGGAAACTTGAGTGAAAAACACAAGTCAGTCCAAAACTGATAAGGACGTATGTGGTTGCCTTTGAGAAATGCAAATAGAAAACTTCTTGGACAAGTTTGTTTTCCATCCTCCCTTCTCTGTTTTTCAAGATGTAAGTCATCCAGCAAGGTGTCTTTATTTGGCTTTGAAATCTGATTCAAGTTCTGAGCTGTGGTAAACTGCTGATGACACTGGATTATCCTTTACTGATAAGATACATTTGATAATTTTTTTGATCCTTAAAAAGCAATCAACAGCAGGATGCCAAACTTTGTGTATAATATATAATCTCGATCATGCAAAAAGTCCATATCTTGTATATATAAATATGCATTAAAAAGTAACAAAGAGAATTTGAATGTCAATGGCTGTTATTTTCAGACCACGGAGTTGCAGGTTATTTTTACTTTCTTCTTTATACTTTCCTGTTTGCCAAATTCTTTACAAAAAGTAGATAATTGACTTTATAAGTAGAAAAAATTATCTGAAAAAATTCAAGATACTCCTGCAGCAGCAGATCTCATCCATTATAAATTCAACTATTTAACACGAAATTGAAGATATGAGAGACCAGAAACATTTTAGATTTTGAGTAGGAAGATTTTTGAGGAAGACAAGGAACATTATAAATCCTTACTGTTTTCTAATTGAATGTCCAGGAGCTATTTGTGTCTGACTTTTTTATTTCACAAGATCAGTTAGTGAGAGAGAAAACAAGGTTTATGGTGCCATGAGCAAAGTCAGAGGCACTTCCTTTTTGTTTAAAAAAAATTTATTTTTTTTGGTAGAAATGGGGACGGGACTTGCTATGTTACCCAGTGTGGCCCTGAACTCCAAGTGATCCTTCCACCTTGGCCTCTCAAAGTGTGACGATCACATATACAAGCCAACACACACAGCACAAAGTCAGAGATGCTTCTGAAAGAGTTGCCCAATCTCTAAGAAGCCTGGCTCTGAACCTTGAAGCCTAGAAAATGTTGACTGAAATGGAAAGCATGGGTTCTCAGGGTGATGACCCAATCCTGCCAGCTTGTGGGAGCAGTGGAAAGGACACAAGACTCCTTCACAGGCCCCAGTGCCATCTGTAGCTCTCCCTACCCTCATCTATAAAGGAGGGCTGCTCCTACCCTCATCTATAAAGGAGGGCTGCTCCCAGCTCTATGATTCTGTTTTCTCTGGTTGGAACCAATGCCATGTCTGGATAAAGTCCAGGGTTGGAGACCACCTCAACTTTCATGTCTCACCAGACCAGTCCTTCCCTGGAATAGCCACTTAACCTCCTGGTACACACTGGGGTTTCCTCATCCCTTGGTTTCAGGTATCCTCCCTCAGAAAGATGTTGCAAGGACTGACTAATGCACATTAGTGTCCCAATAACAATGATGTGCACCGCAGGTGCTGGGAGTTCCGAGCCACCTTTCTGTCCTGCATCTGGGACTTCCCATCCCACCATATGTGGGTATAGCTGATGGTATCAAATACTTCTCCCAAAGACCCGAAAGCATTCGCAAAAGTGGGTTGATAGATGGTGTGACTGTGTGTGTGGCAGGAGAGTCCACTTTTCAGGAAGCGACCCATCAACACCTTCTTCGCATCCCCCTCAAAGATTGGTCTTGCGATTTCCATCCTTCCCAAACCCGCTGAAAACGTCGCTCACGGGAAGGATGCTCTCAAGTTTCCTCCTTTCGTCCAGAACAAGTTCATTCCCGGAGTTTTCTTTTGGTTTTGTCTTGTTTTTAACATTCACAGGTTAATTTCTGGGGTCCCCGTCCCGATTCCAGACGGCGCCGATCATGAACGCACACCGAGGTCGGAGTACACCGGACTTTAAATCACCGCATCCACGGGGCATTGCGGAAGGTGGACAGGGTGAGGTGGGGCAGTTTCCGAGGCGCCCCGGCGCAAGCCTGCGCCCACGCGGGCAGGAAAAGATTCGCTCCTATCCCCAGGTATGTGCTCCCAAACACCTGCGAACCTGTTGCGTCGCTTTCCACAGTCAGCCCTGTCTCTCGTGCACGGGCCTTGGAAACACCCGCGAGCAGGTGGTTCCCCGAGACGCGTGCACGTCGCTATGGCGCGGGGGCGGGGCCGGCGGCGGCCGGAGGGCGGGGTCGTCCCGAGCCCAGAACCCTCTCCCGGCTTCTTGCCCCCCTTCAGTCGCCTTCATGTCTGGGTCGGCGCTGCCAAGTCGTGGG